GAGAGAGAGAGAGAGAGAGAGAGAGAGAGAGAGAGAGAGAGAGAGAGAGAGAAGAGACAGTAAAAAAGAAAGAAATAGAGAAAAAAAGAAGAATAATTCGTTCGAGCGACGCTAACCTGTGTGAGCGAACAGTGTGACTTCGATCCTCGTTGAATCCTTGAAATTTTTCCGTCACAAAACTCTTGTCGCGGTCGATTTTCGTGTCGACACGTCTTGCTTCGTCGTCTCTTTCTTGGATGTGGGTCAAGTTCGCTCCTACGCGTGTGTCTCGTTTAGGTACCGCTCAGATTGTAAGCGTCGTTGAATCGCTTTATACAACACAGTGTACAACACTGTGTGCACACCGGTTTTGATACCTGGTTATAGAGAGAGAAGTTCCGTGCTTCCTTACAGTCGAGTGCTGAATGTCATGTGCGTGGACTGGTCGTTGAGCTTGACTCGCGCCGGTTCGGAGGCAAAACGCTCTATCTCCACGCTCCAGAGCCGGCGGGACACGTTCTCGCAATCTCGTATCGCGGAGAACACGCGGAGTACTACCAGAGTACCGGTCGGCGATCTCTTTTATTAGTATTCCCGCTGGCGGCGGAGTTGGCGATAGCGGCGACGGCGGTGGCGACAACGGCGGCGACGACGGCGGGCGACGACGGCGATGGCCGATGATGATGATGATGCGAGAGAGACGTCAGCGGGGCTTCAACGCTATACGTAACTGGACGAGAGACTCGACGATCTTGTAATTCCCGTATTGCGCCTGTTACGCTCGCGTCGTCTTCATCGCGTACGATGCGCCAAAAATACTATTATGCGCGATAGGAATTTCAGGAAAGCTGTCATTGACGCGTTATCATTGTATCATTTGCTTCAACTGAAATAGAAACACAGCAGATGCAACAGCGCGACAAAGATAAAGCTATACTCATTTTCGACATAGTCATGAGTTTTCCTTGAAAGAAATTGACGTGTCTGTTCGGCCGTTTAATTTTTCACTCGAATTTGAAGAAGATGAGTGTTCTAATTGAATTTCTGGATATCGCGTATCTGGCAAATTGATTTGACATATGAATATGTATTTTATGTTGAGCATATCTACCGATGGCAAATACAGAAAAAAAAATGAAGATAACCTAATAATAGAAAGTTGAGATCAATATTGGGGAATCATGTATTCAGTTTCATGCAAATTCTCCGCAACTGATTCCGTAATTTACTCAGCCTTGCGCAAGAAAGTACATCTTATCGCACTAATATTTTGTCATCGCGCGCTATGACTTCATCGAAGATTTAGATACTGGCGCTCCCATAGCTTGACCCTACGAGCGTCATTACTAATTTTGTTTATTATATTCAGTATATTGCTTCAGTAATCGGATTTTTAATGCCTGCGGATTTATGTCCGGGACAGTCCTCGCCTGCGCGTAGCGCTGAATACATAAACAGACCGAAGTCGGACGATAGGAGAAAAAAAATTTGGGTGCGTCAAGTGCGATATCCATGTAAGAGGTTTTGACGATACAGACAGGAATAACGCACTGCAAATGGAATTTCCGCACTAGCGGCGGTTGAGTATGCGTAGATTATCGTTGAAGTGCGTATAAACATAATACCTCAACATCCTCTCGAGTCGTTTCCTGGACACGTTTTCTGGGTATCCCAAAGGAGTAATACTTGTATCATTATAGTAATAATATTGCATGACATAATATATTGTCATTATATAATAATTGTTATGTAAAGTACAACATATAATAATTACAATATAATTAACGTCACAATTATTTTACGCATCATATAAGATAATATGTTGTTCCTTTATGCGATAACTAAATTGCGATTTTAGGCAAAAAGATAACGCACATGATATCGATTGCTTTATGTTTGTGTTTATAATTTCTACTGACGTCGTATTTTGCTTTATTCGCCAAGTTATCAAAATCTCCCGTAATATTTCAAACAAAATGGCATAATGACTAAACCTTGGGACAAATTGTGTCACTACTGATCTCCTCGGCACCTTGGCACAATGATTCTATAAGAATCGATCTACTTTAGATTCATGCAGGTGCCCTGGTGTTGGGCAATGATGACACCTGAGGAGGAAACGATTCATCATCGGTTGCTTCACGTTGAAACTAGTTTTTCCGCGAGCAGTGTTCGTACACGCCGATATAAAGCGCGACATCGCGTGAAATATGGAACGTCAGGAGAATTCGATAAAGTTTATACATCTACCTACGAGTCCTTTCGTGCAGCTGGAGCTCGACCTACTGGCAAATGTCGAGGTGTCAATACGTTTTGAATTATACGAGCGACCTAGAACGAATGAACCAAAAAATGTCTCTTCTCGAATTAAACGTCGATAACAGAGTCTTATCTCGTTTAATTTCAAGTTTGAATTCAATGAAGCTCTTTAATCTTGCATATATCTAACTGCCGCGACGATTTTTCGAAGACGAAGGTTGGTTAGAAGACGCATCGCGACTCGAAATGTATTTCGAGTCGAGTTACATTTTTTTTTATCAATCCTTATTGGGAGAACATCTTCGTATTCGTATTTGCGACTTTTCTTGTCCGTGTGAAGAAACACACACGCTTGATTCTAGCCTCGGTTCTCTGTTTGTTTTCTTCAAAGACACGTATATTTATATAAACATTGACACATAACTTTAACGAGCTATTATCACCGCGATGATGTCGCAGTTGGCAAAGTTGTTATTCGTCAGATCCGTTATTCTTCGCGACACGTGTTGTTCTTATGAATCACCTTTGGTCTATTATATTGGTTTTCGCGCTAAATAGATTACGCGTATTTAGTAAGTGTATCACACGAGAGCTGTGTGGTACGTCGTGTACTATGTGTCGAAGCGTAATTCCCGTAATACAGGAAGTTTACATGAGATTTTGTGTGAGTTCGTCGCATTGTACTCCGTTTCCGCTCGTCGATGCCGTCGAATGGATCGCGAGTAAACACACCTTTGTCCGAATTAGCGTTCAGAACTTTCCGGTGTACGAACAATTCGTACTTTATGGTAGTTTACGCTTTGCTTGCGCAATAAATCGCTCGCGAATTTCACAGGTTCGAGGATGCATCCGGATGTTCCAAATTCGGATGTGCTCAAATACGCGTAATGATAAAAATGGGGGATACGTCACAATAAAAGGGCTGATTAACAATGAATATTAGTTAGGGATTACTTTTGCATGACACGTGAATATCTAAATCAGTGCAATAATTTTTATAAATTTATTTTTTTTAAGTTTTCTTATATTCACGTATGATATAAAAGTAGTTTCTAATAATTAATTCTCATTGTTAATCATTCCCTTTATTATGATACATTTCCTATATTGAATGTTAAACATATTCAAGTTTCCTTAATATATTACTACTCTTAGAGAGAAAAGATATTAGATAGGTTTTTTTTCGTATAAATTCTATTCAATTATATCATGTTTTTAGTAGGCCAGGAATAAACTGTCAGCATGATGTATCTTGCTAAATAACATAATAAATTTCACTAGAAATATAGCAAATTCTCTAATAGCATGTTGCAACTCCCAAAATATAAGTAATATATATAAAATCAAAAGATAGAGTCAAATACTGCGGAATGTCGATCTCTATTCCTTAGTTACAAAATTTAATAGTAATTTTTTTTCTATAAAATTCTCTTTGTGCGCATATTCGGTGTTTCTCTTATTTTTTTTACATTACTAATATTTTTGGGATAATCTTTTTAATGCAAATATCATAGTGCCGATAAATTTTGAGTGCTCGATAATGAGAATATAAATTTTATCAAGGTTTCACTAATCTTCCCAAACAAAGAGAGAACTAAACAAAGAGAGATGTTTGAATGAAGACGCAGGAGACTAAAGTCGACGCGTTCGTTGGAACTCGTTGCGGTTTTTGGGATTAACCCATGAGTAATGCCAGTATCAATGGCGGTGAAAAGGGATAGAAAAGAACTTGAAAGAATTCAAGAGGTAAATTCGTAATTTCCCTGACTAGACTTTTAATATCGTAGAAATAAATCCCGATAACCTTTCAACATTTTTCCTCTTCGTAAGGTAAACAAGCATTCATATGATAACGAATTGATATTGAAAAATGCAAGAATGAGTTAGAAGTAGAACAAGTTTCGTATCGTACAATACCCAGATAGCCAAACCTGCGCGAACAGATTTCGAGTAGAGCTTGCTATCAACTTTTGATGGAAAATAGATAACAAATTTGATGTAGAATCTGTTATATCAAATCTTGCTGCCAAATTGCCGCCAGATGCGGCAGAGCTTATTGTCGGATAATTGCTGCAGATTTACAGCAAAAACCATGCAGAGCTTGTAGCGATTTGACGGCAAAAACCGCGCAGACCTTGTTGCACTGCAAGCTTTATGCGGTTTTTGCTGCAAATTTGGCACCAATTACCCGACAGCAAGATCTGTCGCTAAAATCGTAGCCTAATGTAGACAGATGGCTATGGTTTTGCTATGGGTTTTTTTGATCAAATTTGCTGCCAATCTTCGCGCAGTCTGCGCTCAATTTGTTTACTGGGTATTCATATTACGTATGAAATCATATCCATAAATCTTACTCACTATTACTTTTAAACCTTACTTGACTAATTACATAAAATATTCCACATTCTCGACTTTGATGGCAGTTTTTTTTACTGATTAAAAGCGTATACATTTGAATAATTAAATTCGAAAACTTCTTCGCGGATTAGGTGTACGAATAAATACAAGAATTTTGTTGTTGTTCATTTCTCGATTCAAGTGAACTTTGCTTTTTCGGAATTTAACCTCAATTTCATCATTGACATAAATTTTACGTTGAAGATTAAGAAGTTTAATTGTACACTTTTCTCAGTAACTGTTAATTTAACCAAGAAAAGCCATATATACCTGGATATAATATGTACGTAATAAGCTTGCTTAGGAAGTGTGGAATACCGGACGCCATTTTGGACAGGTGCTAAAATTTGAATGTTTAATTTAAATAAGTGCAATTGCAAGGAGAGACGCGCCTAGTGTCGTGTTCTGAAACTCACCGAAAGAAAGAAACATTCAGTGTCCAATAGGAGAACTTGCTTTCTAGAGACTTTTGTCCCTCGTGGTCGGTTCTTTTCAGCTGTACTTGTACAGTAGTGCAGTTGAAAAGTACAAACTATAGGAAACGTCTCCTGCATTTAGGAATTGTATATTTATAGCAAATATAACCTATTTCTTTCTCGGGGAGTTTCCAATAACCATAACATAATAACCATATATATCAAAAATAAGAACAATCAGTGTGAATTTTCCATTTAATATATTTAAATTGTATATTTTTTTTGTGGAATATATTTATATTAAAGATAATAAACATAAAATAAATCATATCGAACGTGAGAGTTATTTAGATCGTTAATTGTACACACAATATATTTTTAATGATTGTTAATTAATGTGGTTTATTTGAAATATTGTGAAATAAGACGAACATAATGTTAACCAAGTTATTCAACAATTTTATTAAACATCAGAAAGCACAGGTAGATCTATATATTTTTAAGATATGATAGGCAATTTATTATGTCACAAAGATTAATAATTTTAAATAATAATGATTTTGGTATTCAAAAGAAAATTACATTACAACTAGATATCAATTAAACAAAGTTTTTTTATATACAATTCTGATTTTGTACACATATTAATAGTTCACATTAATTAATACTTTGTATATCAATAATATTTACTTTTATAATTTTATTAATATAATCTCTTCTGCCTTCTTGCCAATTCAATACTCTTTATTTTACTTTCTGGTTTGTAGATTGGCAAACATTGGGGATCAAGCACAATAATTTTCAAGATGAATAGCACAGATACTAATGCTGTTGACATGAACTCATTTACTTCAGAAGAAAAAGAAAAAATTCTTAATATAATAAATTATCAAGATAAGGAAGATTTATTGCAGTAAGTTATATTTATATTGAAGAAAATTTCTTGATCTTATGATACATACGTTGCAATATATTATTAATTCTGCAGTATATATTGAAAACAATATATTATCAACTTTTGATTATATATTTTTTATTATAACATTTGTACACACAAAGGTATTCCATTACTAAGAAATGTGCGCAGAACTTAGCATTGCACCGTGCAAATAATGGACAATATGATTCACTGGAGGAATTGTTACAAGTAAATGGTATGAATGACAAAAATTTATACAAATTTTATAAGTCGATTGTAAGTGGCAAGAAGAAGAAAACTCCCAGAAAAGTTATCTCAGATTTGGTCTTGACATCAAAAGTTACTACCAATGACCAAAAGGTATAAGAAATCTAAATTATCTCAATTTTCTAGTTAAAAAGCATTACACATATTATACATGTGTATATGAGAGAAGTTTCAAAAGTAAGATATACAGTTTAAGAAAGCAGGAATTTCATCTTTGTTTTTATTTGTTAAATACAACATATCAAAATGAAATTATTTCTTATCCTTTTTTCTGCATAGTTTTTTACTTTTGTATATTTTTTATATATTAACACTTTATGTGAATGAAATATTACAGGATGTTGATACAGTATTAGGTATATATATAGGACAAGATGTGATAAGCTGGTCATTGCTAAATCGCGATTGTGAAGTATTACAATGGAACTACAAACGCTTTGAACGTAATCGCGCTAGGGAGAATATTCATTCCTTGCTTCAAACAGTAAATATAAAAATTGCAAAATTGCAGTTTTTAAATTATAAAGTTTATTATCAGAGAGAGAGTTGCAAGGTGTGATTACATTGTGTAACTTCGCAACTGTTTTCTTCCTTTTTCTCACTTAGACATTACCGATCGCCGCAAATCTTCCGAAAGCCGATCGATATATAATGCAGGAATTTGGCGGTGATGGTCTCCAAAAAAATCGAGCGACTCAAACGATCCACATGGAACAAACTGTGAGAAACGCCATTATTCTGTCGCACCTGGCAGTGCTAAATTCTGAATTCGGTAGAGAGAAAATCATTACTTGTGTTGACATTAGAACCGAAGTGGGATAACTCTGTTTATCTCGGAAACGATAATTGTCATATCCCTGTCGAAAGTAATTTCGATCAAATGCTGTGTCCCTCTTATTATATAATCAACAGAACTTCCGTTCTACGGAATCACGATTAAATTTTGTCTAAACAGTCATTTTATTGTTAGTAAATTTAGTTAGTGACTCTTTTCATATGTCATATGAGGCAAACAAAAGTATCTTTCTAAGAAAATTTCATTATAAAAATTTCAGACACCGCCGAATTCGTAAGAAATAATATTTTTATACTTCGTAAAAATATCTTACGAAAGGTTTATCAACTCACAGTTGGAAACGAAACTATATCTACCCAATATGTGCTCCAAAAATTAATGGTGGAGCACGAGAAACCGCTGGGAGTATCCTTACCTACTGTGTGCATAAAGCCGGAACTTCAAAACATGTACAATGCTCAAAGTAGTATCAATAAGGAGCAGCTTAGTTGGTCTTTGCTAATTGCATTGGGTTACGTAGGACTGATTGTACACGAAAGAACTGATATGAGATTTCGTGATATTGATAGGTAATAAAATGTGTTATTTACAGTAATTTGATAATTCTGTTAGCAGACTAGCTATAATAAGATGAAATATATTTCATTATCGACACATTGTGCGAATTGACGTTGACTTAAATGATATAAATAAATTGAAGAATTTTACTGACCATGAAAAAAAATACATTCTTATATTTTGTAATTCAGATTTCAGAAACAATATGGAGTGGAGCAAGGAGATTGTGGCAAATAAAATAGAGTTGATCAGAAAGTAAAGGAAGTCAGTCGGGATTCCCTCTGAGTTGCAGGAAGGACAATGATAGTTCTCGTAATACGCAAGTCATTGTGTCTCGTTAAAGGAAGATGGTTTATTTACAAGATAGAGCGAGATTCGAGAATGTATGAATGTGACTATGAAAATCATCGCGATGGGACAATAATAAATACAGTAAACTTCTGTACAGATCCATTCATTTATTATATCCTCATTTCTCGTTACGTACTATTTATTTGTAGTATACCAAGTGTATATTGTTACTCGCTGCTCGGATACAAACTCTCGCGTCAAGTTGTCGATTTAGATGAAGCAGTTCGGTGTTTACCACAAAAATAGAGGATCGCTCGGCACTTTCGCGAACAAGAGAAAGAGAGAGAGAGAGGGAGAGGGAGAGAGCGAGACGTGGGTCTGTGTGTTCGTGCACGTGTGACTGCATCGTAAATGTGATTCGAGAAGAGTCGTCTGAACGAGCCGAATGCGCAGTATTCTTCGCCGGAATTCTCGTGCCGAAATGTACTCGATACTTCGATACACTCGAAGTGTGTAATTTAAGGCCTGTTCTTTGTAGCTGCACTGCTGAACTAGTGCAATAAGTTAGAGTGAGAAAACGTATATTTGTCTCACTTTAATATATTGCACCAGTTCAACAATGCAGCTACAAAGAACAGGCCTTTGGTAAAGTATAATAATATAGCTATACGGGGACATTGAACGCCGTTCAACTCGACAATCCGGCAGTGATGCTGTGCGACAAGCGTGCTTTCCTGCGTGGGCGTTTAATGTCAGCTGATGAAGCACAAGGGAATGCACATCGATATGTGAGTGAGCTTCGCAGCGAGAAAGCTCTTCTTTCCGCGTGCATCTGCCGGCGTGAGGCTTCGCTTTACGACCGCGTTTTAGGCTCCATCGGAAGTGCGCAGACTGATATCACGTCGATCAAGCTTACTCGCGATAAAAGACGTGCGTCTACGTAGTAGAGCGTCGCGGGGAAAGGATGGAAGCCGAGATGACGTCGCCGATCATAAAACCCGAAGTGGCACACCGCGCGGAATCAGGTTCAACTTTGGTAGCGTTAAAAGAAGAGACTATTACGCGTTTCTCCTTCTCCATCGAGCGGCGGAGCGACGCTCCTCACCAAAGTTGGACCTGGTAGGTTTTTACATATGCGGCCTGCCACTTTTTTTTCTTTCTTTTTCATTATCCACTAGTCTAGTCTACACAGCTACACGCACGTTCGCGTACGAACACGAGATAAAATATATATTTCAGCGAATAACGCAATTAAATTCCGCCGTTCAGAAATATCAAGGAAACAAAGCACTTGCTGCCCAGCGTACAGAAATCTTTAGTAAAATCTCTTTACTTCTCTCGATATATTAACAAATTATATATGGACATACATCTGCGTCATATATCGTACAATAAATCGTGCGATTGCATGCGGATCTCTCGATTATAACTGTTGGATCGCATCGCTGTCAGAGACTGTTTAACACATTATAATTATTACGAATGATACCCGATCAGACCAGCTGGAAACGAGTTCGACATATATACTGATATCTTTAATATATGTATATATATACCTAACAATTGTGTACATAATATATGCTATATATGTATATATATACCTAAATGTATGTATGCATATATGTGTGTGTGTGTGTGTACCACGTATATTTATATATATACACATATATACACACACACACCCACGCACACACACACACACACACCATACATATCGCGAAACGAAAGGGCATTAAGTACGTACATTGCTATCCCATAATTTACAACACGGTTTGTCGTAAATAGAAACGTCCCTACGCATGCGCATATATGTATAAAATTTACTCAGTTTAAATATACAATTCCGGCGGGGAGAGTCGCGCTCCAAGCGGTAGTATCGGTATTGTGCAAGGTGATGCGATTTGAGCGGGTCGCGTCGGAAAATACAGGCCCGTATTAATAGTCGTCACTTGGCTTATTTTTAAAGATTATTCCACGCGCGAGGTACTCAGATCTGAATTTAGAGTTAGATCTGAATCTTTTATTCGAACCATATGATATATGCGACATTGTAATCGCGCAATTCATCTGAAAAGCTCACATCCAACTCTAAATCCGATTCTGAGTATCTCACCTGAGACAAGTTTCGAATGACGACTATTAATATAGGTAACAGAGACGTGAAGATCCTCGATGCTCAGACGTAGAACATAAGAGTCGCGACTACAACGGAACAGTCATTTTCTTCGAAGGACGTCGACGTCACTTCTGAACAATTTCCTCTCACCCGTAAAATCAATACTATTTAATTCAATACTGATCAAATTAATCGGACTTTCCGCCTAAACAACGGATTCACCGCAATTCGTTAAAAATCAAGTAGACAGACTGAATATAATTTATACATCGTCACCTATAATAAATATTTTATATTATACGATAAATCAATGCGAAAGTGTGTTGCCCGAGATAAACGCGATACGCAAGCCGATTGTGTTGTACAACTAAGAGAACTATGTGTCTCTGCGCGGTTCTTCTTTCCTTCTCCTCAAGTTACAAGGTAACGGATAATATCGACACATTGGGTGGACACACGTCGTCGAGCGAGTTGCACGAGATTAGATGGTACTTTCCAGCGAGTCTCGACATGATTCTCTCTCGCTTTTAAGCGGTATGTTCCCACAACTCGTTCGAGAACTCGCTACAAGATCGATACTTCTTACTCGTCGCTAATGGAACACAAAGGACCGCGTTCCGCGAGTTGTTCTCCGCGTGTATATAATGTACGTCACGTTTCAAGCAACGTGTACACAGACACATTTCGATTCGAGGCTAATGTATACTCTAAATTTATTAAACATTTATTACAATTAGAAAGAGGGAGAGAGAGAAAGAAAGTTTCTCTTTATCATGCTTTGGTCTAAAGAAGCAATGAAAAGTGACAAGAGTACACGCAAAGAGAGAAAGAAAAAGAGACAGTAGTAGTTCCGGAGTCTATGGAACGTCTCGATTTTTCGTATCTGCTAGTCTTTTTTCCCTCTTTTTTCCTTAAATTGGGACACGTGTCGTCATTGTCAGATATTTCTTAAGATAAAAAAGAATTTTCAACATATAATCCTCTCGTAACAGGAAATATACTTTGGTATTATCTAAAAATGAAAGAGAAAACAATGATGAGATATCGGTCGAGATATTGAAAGATTTGTGTCATTGAACACTTGAGTGATAACCGAAGAATAGAGCGAAACGTAAGAACGTCAATTCACTTTTGCAATACGAGCCTCGTACATATACATAGTGACATCGGATTGTCAGCACGCAATCAAGTTTAGGACTCGTATTGCCTTCCCTCGCGTTACAAAGGCATGCTTCAAGAATCGAGAGATCGCACTTTGGGAGAAATCCTTCTCAAGTGCAAGTAGGACTAGGGCTCGTACAAAGTTCATCTGCAGCAAATGAGTGAAGATGACACTTGAAATCGCACGAAGAGCGAATCGAGAAGCAGTGGAGTTTCGTCAGCACCGAGCATAACATTTCGCGTTCTCTTTTTTACATGACGTACACTTTGCTTCAGTATGGTTTGAACATTTGTTTTTTATTGCACGCGTTTCAGAATGTAATCGATGGTCCAATGAGAAAACTTGTTTTTCATTAATTTCTACATGTTCTCCTAGGTTCTGTATTAATGGTGGTTACTTGAAACTTGTTTCAAATGAGATATTCAGATTTGAATTTAGAGTTGGATGTGAGTTTTTTAGTTGAGGGAACTTTTGGAAATTAATTAGAAAGTTCTCTCGTTGGATTATCGATCACGTTCCAAAAAGCGTTGGAAAAAATGAAAATGTTTGAACCATTTTGAAATCAACTAAATCAAGTGCACGTCATAGAAGAGAAATTCGCTGATATCCAGCGGAGATGGTACACGAGAGAAAGGGGGTGGAGTGAAAGAGTAAGTGAGAGAGAGAGGGGAGAGAGAGATGAGAGAAAGAGAGAAGGGAGAGATGAGAGAGATGAGAGAAAGTGAGAGTGAGTGAGAGAGAGAGAGAGGGGAGAGAGAGATGAGAGAAAGAGAGAAGGGAGAGATGAGAGAGATGAGAGAAAGTGAGAGTGAGTGAGAGAGAGAGAGAGGGGAGAGAGAGAGATGAGAGAAGGAAATCAGTCGCAAGCTCAATCGCTGTGTGAAATTGGTCCGACGCGAGGTGTGCATTGACACATGCACGATGGCATTGCTAACGCGTAACGACGTGCATACATTTCAACACGATCGGACGTCGTTGAGCGTCGTAGCGCGGTGGCGCTAAAACATAAATTATGCGTGAAAGATAAACAGTGAGTGTTACTGGCACGTATCATGGATACAGTCAGCGCGCGGTGAATTCGCTGACTCTCTTCTGGCTCGATACACGCTATATTTGGTCGGAGACATTTCTCTACATCATGTGTCGCATTGGACTAGAATCGCGATACAGCTAACGTCGGAACAAGCGCTCCGAATCGTTTCGAATCCGAGATCGGGAGGAGGCTGGAAGATCTTGAAGAACTCGATCCACAGTATCAAAAAAGGGGCATTATTAATCGGGAGTTCCTGAAGAACTCCTCTCCGAAAAGCATTAACATTCATTGAAAGCTTTGAGAATTTTGAAAATGTACTACGTTTCAGATCCGAAATAAAAATGCTTTCCCGCGTATATCTCAATTGCAATAACGATGTGTAATATTTACAGTAATTAGCATCTTCTCCGATTTTCGCCCAAGTCCTCGACACTCAAGATTATCGACGGTCCCGACGTTCTCGCGCGAGTTTTAGATACGTTAAAACTGTCGAGAGTCCTCCGAGATATTCAAGGCTTCCCACGATTCATCGCTTTCTTCAACTTTTGAGGCGGTGCTCAAGCCTCTACGATGGCCGAATCGCGCCTGTAGAAGGGGGAATTAATTCTCCCTTCCCCTGCGAACTCAAATTCCGCGAATACACAAATTCAGGTCGCGCGCATAGCGAAATCTTGCATATCTTCGATTCTTCGTGAATCCTTTCCTCCTTTTCGTTTTCTTTTTTCGTTTGGAAGTAGAAAGGCGAAGATCTCAGTGGCACAGTTAAGGCGTACTCTCTTCTTCTACACTACTATCACTACCACTATTACAATATTCATCCATAGGACATATCTCGGTGTGTATTGCATTACCTTCCATGACGATATAACATGAATTATACAACTATATCGGGAGCAGAGGAGCGTAAACTATCGACGATGCAACATAAATTAACAAATTATCGACTCGATCGTTATAACGCGCGTGCGCGCGCACACGCACACACACACACACACACGCATACACACATACTCACTCACGCATACGATGCACGCATAATACATCAACACGATACAATACACACGCGCATACTCACGCATACAAAGAGCAACACGCAACAACATGTAAGACGAATCACATGGTAGATACATACAGTAACGCGAATTGGATAGACTCCTATCTTCAATGATTTACACTTAATTTCATCGAATGTAACCTAACACAAGTAATAAGTACTTATGCGTATCAATTTAATTTAATTTAATTAGTGTGCGAATAATTCTTTTTTTTTAATCGTTTCTTCTCTTATTTCTTTGTGTTTTTTCTCTTTTTTTGGTTTGCAAACACCTCGGTGTGTTTTCTTGTGTCCAACAATGATTGCGTCACTTTTGTTGTTTCCGGAAATTTCCGTCGTACTTGTTGCGTATACAGAACATCGGCCGAGTCAATTGAAGGCATAATCCGCCGACTTTGGATGTCTCACGCGAATTCGACAACGATTACAGTACTCTTCGTTATCTTGATTTGTTATTCTTCTCGTAACAATCTACGAGAGAGAGAGAGAGAGAGAGAGAGAGAAAGAGAGAGAGAGAGAAAGAGAGAGAGAGAGAGAGAGAGGAATAAAATACTCAGTCAGAAATAATATCACACCTGGAGATACAGTGGAAGACTAAAGACGCTGACATTACATCAAAAAGAAAGTGTAGTTTTCAACTGCGAACGTTAAACAGTGTGAATCCTCTCCAGATCGCTGGTCTGATATATTTCCTTCGTTAAATGTTAATCTTTATTCGCTTGAACACAATTGCGCGCGAGATTCGGCACGAAAATTGTCTCGTGCGAACAAGTCGCGTGTTAAAAATGAAGAGAGAAGAAACGAATATAGAAAAACAATAAATAAATTAAAGCACGAGACATCGCGTGCGAAGAGAATCAACAATAACGCAATTACGGCTAACAATTCCAATTGTTACTAACAAGTTCGTGTTTAATCTCATCTCCGTACTAATCTCCCCTTTCTCCCTCGCACGATTGTGATATTATTTAAAAGAAAAGCAAAAGTGTCGCTTCGCGGCGATTTAGTTTCGGTCGCGCAATAATTCGATTCACGGTAATATGAAGTGTTCCTCAATTGCCTTGACCAAGCGTGACCGTTAGCAGGAGATCGCGACAATGGCACACGGTCGTAAAAAGTGACTAGCATTCGCACTTGTTCGTACAACAATCGAATCGAGTTCCCGACTGGACCTTTTCGACGACAGACGTATATCGTTTACATGTATATGTACGTGTATATATATCGCATATATGTATATATAACGTGTATTGTACACACGTAATAAAAATAAGTTGACGGATTTTCAATGATCGATCTCGTTACCACGATTTATCGGCGAGACACACTTGAATGTAACGTTGGCTTGACGCGCGGTCGCCGTGTTGAATTTTCACAAATTCGCGTTTTCTTCGATGGATATGCATTGTCCCGAAAAATCAGAAGTTCAGAAGTCAGAATGAATTTTCGAAAAGGCATAAAATCGAAACTCGAATATCGAGATAATACCCCGAAGTGTACACTCGCTCTGAGAAGGAACTGTTACCGCAAAACCGTACAGCCGCGGCTGATTAAAGGTTGCTCAACATTTTTCTCGACAAATTTCGTAATGCAATAAAAGAGAATTTGTTTTTCAATAATTCTCAGGAAATATACGCTTTGTCCACCAAATACGCATTGCGAAACTTATCGAGGAAGAATGTTGCTGCACTCGATCAGCTGACTGTGCACACACGGAAAAAGAATTCGCGTAACTGAATGAGGACCAGATGAAAAACTCGCTGACGAGAAATCATATTTCTGTTGTTGTGAGCGAAAATATTCGTCTGGACATTCAGCTGCGTCAAAACTCAGTTGAGAGATAATTGAGCGTAATTGGCTGGTGAGCAGAAACATCCTACAGGAATTCTTCTGTTCCTATAACCGAGTTTTCCATCTGGTTTCCGAGTGACAGAAAATTCAGTTACACTAACGGAGTTGCTTTTTATATGTATCAATATCGATCAATTTGGCCACATTCTTGCTGTATTCATATGATACCAATGTAGTTGCTGTACAGCAAGACAACAGTGCCAATATTTCGATGAAATTATATTTCGGGAAATTGCCTTTCGATATTCGAATCTCGGCGTTACGACTTTTCAGTGAGTTATATGTCTCGCAATTTCGGCACACTTCTTTCGGAACAATGCGCATCTATCGTTTTTTTTCTATCCTCACGCGAACAACGGTACATACGTGGATTATCGACGCACGTGAGCGCATTGTCGCAGAGCGGTTACGTAAAACCGCTTCTGTCTTTCTTGTGCCGTTCGTAGCGATCGTGTTTGCACATATGTGGCCAGCCGTCGTAAACGCGCATTTTTCTCCCGACATTATTTTTGTGCACATGCAATGAATACACTCGCCTCGCAACGCATCGCTACGCATCACTACGCGTCCGCGCGTCTAAGCCAATCTTAAGGCTCGCTAATCTTGGATTCTCTACGCGTGTAGAGTGAACTGTTCTATATCCGAAATAGAATGCATTTGTACGAGTCTGACAATCGCGTCATCGATCTTTTAACGATAGATAAGCGAGTGTTGTGAATCGGCGATTTTACTCGAGAGGTGACGTTTCAGCGTGAGAGAAGTATGCGCCGTGACGGGTATTACGGGTCGATGAAGTATGTGCCTTCTTTCGGAGATTCGAGAGTAAGTCTGCGACTTTAGAATGTAATTGATACTTTCTCTTAAATAGGAAACTAGTAGTACGTAATACCGTGCGCTAATTTACTTTAATCACAAATAATTACAAGTAAGTCTTTTGCGTAGAAACGTCCTCGGCGATTCCGTTGAGGCTCGCGCATCTTGTGTATTATATAAGGCGTAAAAGCCGAACCTCAAAATGCATAAGGTGTGCGAGTTTCTCTGAAAACGACGTGGATGTTCGTTCCTGCACCAAAGAGATTGATCTAATTATATCCGATTAAAAGCCATCATACAAACATAAACAATGATGTTAATAAAATACTCCACATAGAAAAGTCGTAATTATAGTAAAAGAATGGAATGGAGATACTACACTCTATGGACTGAGAACATTAAATGTTATTGTGCTTAAAAATTATTTCGCCACGAGCATATCATGTGCGCCGCGTGTGACGTGTTTTGTGTGCGTGTATGTTCGTGTTCGCATTCGTAAAGTGTGGATTGCGCGTCTAATGTACGAATTATAGCAAATTATAAAGGAAACATTGATTGTCGAATCTGATATTTTATCAAGACATTACTTGTTGCTGAATGTGGAGGTATCAAAGAATATCGTACAGTTCCGTCTTTTTTCCTTTTTCTTCTTTTTTTTTTTTTTATTCAACGACGGCAATATGTTACTTTCATTATCTCTGAAAGAGTGATATGCATATTATCGGTATTTTCTCTAAAATTCTCGCGAGATTCACGTCAACGTGCAACTAATAAGCAACCGTTTCGCAATCTATCCGCGGGGCGAAACTCAAAGGAGAGAAGCATTCGATTTCGAATAGTTTAGATTTTTGGCAATGTCGTGCAAAAAAATATATAAGTGCAGACGGTTTAAAAATGGACAACGCGCGAGTGTATTGGTCGTGTGCACAGATAGAGATGTACACCGAGTTGTTTCGGGGGTAAGTCGGGTGTTAAAGCGTTGTCCAAGATCTGAAATGCCGAAGTGTCGCGGGGTAGACGATAACGCGGATAGTGCAAACGCAAAATCAGTTGAGAGAGAGAGAGATAGAGAACACCTGAAAATTCCCGCGGCGCGACTTTCGCGAACGACCGAGCGGGCGGCAGAATGCGCTAACGCCCTTCTTCTTTTTTTCGCGCAGTCTTGGAGGATACGTTATATAATACCGTGTTTCTTTTTTGTCGTGCGGCTGTGTTACATACACGCACAGTCGTCGGAGAACGCGGCCAACAGCTGTTTCTTTTTTTTCTGCCTTCAATGTGTGTGTCACAGGTATAAACTTGGTAACTATCATCGACGAGTCTTACATCGGTGTATACGTCTAGGTGAATAGTCAATACGAAAGTCGACTCTGAGAGATGACACTCGAAAACACGCGGATGAGATTCAGAAGTAGGTGGTACAAGTTCTTTTGTGCTCCTTATACATTATTACGCTGTACGTAAGGCGTCGTGTCTTTTAGTACAGCAGCGCGGCGACGATTAGCTGTCCGGGGACAGTTCATCGGATGTCCGAGATGTTGGTTTTGCTGCCGAAAATTTTGACTAGTTGATCCTCATAATCGTCGATATTACGTTTCATTAGTTCCATACACGGGCCGAGCAGGCGCTCGAAAGCTTCAACGTCCAAAACTGCAAGCGAGGAGAACACAGTAGTTTGTGAGTATGAATGGAACAGCTATTTCGGATACGGATAAATAATTACTGCCTCTCGCGCTCGCTTTTACACATTAAATTCGTTTAGGCGAATAATTCTCTTTTTTAATCAAACATCCCCCCGGTATTATAAGAATTCCGTATTTGTGTGCATTTTGCACTCGCACGTTTCGTGTGCGCGCGGTTCTCTTGATATCTGTATCGATATATCACGATATTTGTATATATATATATATCTTTCATAATTCGCCGCTTCGCAATTTGCTCATTCTCGAATAAATCAATGGCGATAATGATAACGAGCGGAGCGTAAGTTAAACGCAATATCGTTCTCCTGGTTAGGAGTGTTCGAGAGAGAAAGAGAGATATGTATATATACGCGCGTTGATAAATATTATAAAAAGACAAATTGAACACGCAACACAATATATCATCTAATTATTGCGGTAATAATGCCAATATTTGCAATTACCATGGTAAATTATCACGATCTATATCGTCCGTGTTATTATTGGCTAACATGTCGGTTCAGTGTAAACGTAATGAAAATTGCGTTAACGAAACAAACTTACATGCCAGCTTGATGTCCCCCACAGCGTAGGCCGAAGCAGCACGTGGTTTATGCGTTACGAGTGCCAGTTCGCCTAAATAACCGCCGGCCGGAACGCGATTAATCTGCGATATTAAAGGTAACGGGTGAGAGAGGAGCGGGACTTTTCTTGGCGCATGCCGCCGTGGAAACGGCGTTTGGCATTTCACGGAACTAAATTAACGTGTATATATATGTATATATAAATGCACCTCGATTTCACGGCCGTTCTCGCCGAGTATAGTGATCCTGACGATGCCGTCCTCGACGAAGTACATTCCGTCCGCCGTGTCGCCCTGCCTGATTATTTGCTCACCATCTGAATACTGTTTTGGTACAAGGGCGTCCGCTAAATTCATACGCTCGTAAGACTAAAAGGGAATTTTTACGATTACACGTGCGAACGTACTGCGTCTGAGTCTCGTGATGAGGTTGACGCGTTTTGAAGAATGTTTTTCTGCGCAGAAACTTATTTCCCAAATAATAAATACATCATGAGACACAACTGTCCATAAGAAATGTGCACACGAAGACAATTTCCGAATAAATCGATATTCTGCAGACTGTGACAGTCTATTCATGCACTACAAGGAATATAGTAAAATTGAGAAGAATTCATTTGAGAAGAAAGGTGTATATAATATATTCTCTCCGTGTAAATAATATTATTTATATAGTGATATATAATTTTAATTATCATCCTTCATATCTTTTTTATTTTACGAAGGCACAAGCACAAAGGCTATTAAAAGACAGGTATGTGCGACACTTGCCTCGAGGGATTTCAACATCGGCACTTTGTTGATGAGGTCCTCGTACATTTTGCGCTTTTTGTACGCGGATTTGAGGAGAATACGCCGGAAAGTTTGTCTGTCCATGGCCCAAAGTGTGCCGGGTGTGATGGCTTTTACAGTAGCTGCTCTGGGCATGTTGTATAGAAGGGCCAGTTCTCCGAAAGCGCCGCGATTATCGTAAGTGTGAATAAGCATGTCCACCCCCGTGGGATCCTTCACGTAAACCTCGAATTTCCCTCTGAAACGCGAGACGTGGCGGATAGAGACGTGCCGAAAATAAGAAGGCGAGCGATTGATGTAAGAACAAAAAGAGACCCACACAAATACATTTTCCTCTTTTTTTAAGATGTTCGCGCTAGCATGCGTCACGTATGTGTGACGCACCGATTTCTGTGAGATCGACGTCACACATGCGTGACAGCGAGATAACATTCTGCTCAATATCTGTATGAATAGATAACAGTTTTAGTTTTACATTATCACACATTGAGAGAGAAATGTTGGAAATTTGTGGCTATATATAAGTGACAGTAATTTTATATACCTGTTATCACTACCATTTTCCTGTTAGAACGACCAAAAGATTGGTGTAAAAAAAAACTATAATTTTAGTTGGATGAATCATTTTTTCTTTCAGTGTCATATCACTGAGAAAGAAGTGTTTGATACTTATAACTATAATCAGAAAAATTATTAGAGAAATTAAGGAGACTATTTTTTATCAAGTTCTATTATAATGTTAATGTTACTAAAAAAAATATGGTTAGAGCAAAAAACAACTATAATTTTGGTTAGATTAACAAACAGTTTTCCCTCAGTGCGTAGGAAGAGAGGAAACTAAAAGATGCAGGGTGAGATTACGATGGACGTTTGTTCGTCTGAACGTTGACAGTGACTACATTGAACAGTTACAGAAGAAAGCTTCGAAGCGGATCGAGCCGTTCGTTTCCCGATAACAGTGCTTAATTATTATCTTAATTAAAATTGTTCGGACACTGATATCGCTTCGTTAAAACTCTTGACGTCCGAGCACATTCGACACGTCCGTGCATGTTCGACTGCAACGAGTAATCCAATAATCGAAAAGCTTCCAGCGAGCAACTCCTATATATTCGAATTCAATCACGGATTGTTCGAGTAACGCGCGACCGTTCGAATTATTTTCAGCTAGGAGCTAAACCGGCCGAGAGTCTGTGCATCGCCTCTTGGTTCATTGGAACTTCCCGCTGAAGGGAGAAGCCCATCGATACGTTAACGGTAATATAAAGAAAAAGTATTACCTCTCGATCACATAAAAGTTGTCACCATCGTCGCCCTGTCGGATAATAAATTCTCCCGGTTGAACGGTTTTTTCGAACATCGCGTCCAATACATCCGCCATTTGTTCCTGCAAAAGTAATTTTATTACTCGCGTGCGAGCGTGCCTCGCAGTAAGGCGTTGCCGTCCGATATTTAAAAAGATCGGCTTTAAAAGCGTGACAGGAGCACGGAATTACCTTAATATCGCGGCGACAATCAATGTACGACGCGTTTATACGTTTATAAATATATTCGCATGTGTGAGCGAGAGAGAGAGAGTGCACGAAGCTATTTCGCGTCCCCTCTTGCTCGCGAATTCTTCGCCGACACGGACTTTTCGTGAGAATTTCCAGAAAAGATGTCCGAGATTCTTTAAGTTACGAGACTACCTTAAGCAATTGGATAATTAAAGGTCTACGACGAAAATGACACATTAAGACATCTCGTGAATTTCTCGTTCAACCAGTTGATTATTTCGACACGATTATTGACTTTGAACTATTTTTATTTATCATTTCGCATCATATTTCAACACCATATTATTATTATCATGATCGGCGTCGTGTCGCCATCATTATTATTATCATCATTATTACATCGATCGCGCGGTTCAGCTTTGTCGCGGGCAAAACCGATCGCCCTTAATAAGAGATTATTCGTGGATTTCTTGGTATTTCGCCGAGCTGGCGCGCAACAGCGTTATATTCCCGTTGCGCTAATCGCGGCTGATGTGAACGCACTATGTTTAACTTACCTCGTCTAAGGCGCGAAACAGAAGTATGTTCTTGACGCTCTCGCTGAGCCTCTGTCGCTGCTCGTCGCTCTTTGGATGGACCATCTGAAACGAACGGACTTGGCGTAAGGATACGAAGCAACGAGAAATTCAGGACTAAAAACGCACGAGAGGGCGGCTGCCGCCCGAGAACTTCCGGGCGCATTGTCGAAGCGGCCAAAGTACGATCTCTGTTCTTTAACGTGCGCCCTTGCGTCGTCCGACTGTCTATTCTCTCGCCAGCCTGCTTTATACGAGGATCTATTTTATCCTCCGCAACGGTGCGATCCTCTCTAAGAGACTTGCGACGGCAAATTCGATATCTTAACCGAGATATATCGTCGCCCTTTACGTCGGACCTGGTACACGCTGGTGAACTTTGACCTCTGCCGCGCTCGGCTCGCCATTATTTCGGAAGCGAGGCGCATCATTTTTCAGTTTTAAGCACTATCCGACGTTATAAACGTTGTGCGAGAGCGAGAGAGAGAGAGAGAGAGAGTGTGTGTGTTACGGCTTTACGTCTTCTCTTTCTCCTCCTCCACCGTCGGAAATTTCGCGATGAAGCTTTGAGATAACGTTTTCTCCGACTTTACGCCGACTTCATCGCGCTCGATTTCACCGCTCTCTCCCCTGCATCCCCTTGTGCTCCCAATTACAGATACTCACGAGGGTAATCAGTTTCCGCGAGCGATGAGTTCTTTGTCTCGTTATCGTCGCGATTGTTGTGCACAAAGGCGATCAATTTTGCAAAAGTCCGTCACTTTACCGTTACCATTACCGATCATATTCCATCCCGCGCGGGCGGCCGCGACTATTGTACGTACGATTAGAACTTCATCGACAGGGTCAGCCGCTGAGCCATTTGTCGGCTCGCCACCTGTAAAATTGTTAATTTCGCAGCGCGCCGCATTATACTTTTTAATGATGCGCGCGGGCGCGCGCGTCTCGACGAGCCTAGGACGTTAATAAAACCGACTTCCGCTTCATACGCTAAGCCTCAATAAAGCCTCAGCATTCGCTGGGTCAAAACTCACTAGTCTTCTTCACTGCCTGTCTGAACATCGAAAAAGATCGTAACTCTTCGTTCATTACGCGCGGCGCTAATTAAAAAACTCCGCGCGTACTCTTCAATAAACAGACACGCTGACTTCACGTGTCTCGTTTGTCGTATGTACAATTATGCGCAAAAAAATATTACTCTGTTGTTAAGAAAACCGATTACTTTACTTTCCTTTCTTTAAATGGTGCTTATCTTCGATAAAGAACCTCTTTTTGATAACATACTTTTGATAATCTTAAAACATACTTATGACGAAACAATCTTAGAAAAACTCATTGACACTTCAAAAAAAAAAAGAATTTTTGTTCTCTTCACAAGAATATTATAAAACTTTATCGAAAGAAAAATTCGTTGGGTTCTATACAGTATAAGCAAATTTTTCTCTTTTAATATTCCTAATTGAAATGCTAAACTTACTAGGATTTAGAATATATTTTAAATAAATATTATGAGAGAGACACGAATTTTTATATAATAAATTTGCAGATATATAAAATTATGAAATACTTAAAAGAAATAAAGTTTATTTGGATATATTTTTCTGTTTATGCACGATCGTTTCTTTTCGTCGTGAACAACGAAAGATCGTCTTAATAAAATTAATGTAGCAATGCCTAGACACGTAACTAATCCTGAATATTCTCATATATTGTTCTGGTCTCTAAATATACTAATATAAGTAAGTTTTCTGTATATAAAATATGTGTATATATCTAATATATGCATATATAACTTTTTCTGTTGAAAGAGTTTAAACATTCGCACATATATTTAAAGACCGCAAGAATCTCCAGAGTTAGCATACGTGTCCCTTCTACGTTACGCTCTAGCTTCTTTGTCGTCTCTTTGAAAAATCGCCCGTGTCCCAGTTTTTTCTGTCTATTGTCCTAGTCAGCAGCATGTAAAATGTGATACATCGCCCCGGCGGCGGCGGCCTAGGCAGCGAGGCACTGCCGATTCTCCTTCTCGTCGTGTAACCACGGCATCGATAATCGGATTCACCGGATGGTCTTTGTGAAATGCTCTCGAACCGACGGCGTTGCGCGCGCGACGATCCCTCTCGCAAACCTCGCTCTACACACAACCCTCTTTCACCCTCATTCACGAGCGCACTCGCTCGCTCACGTGCGCACGTATGTACCACGTTCATATATACGTACGTACACGACGGTATAGGTACGTACATGTAAATCACGTCCGTGCCAGGTTATCGAACACGCGGCCTGACGTCACAAAGGTACATCGCCTCGCATCGCCGAGCAAAGTAACTCTTCGTCGCGTTTCGTGCGGCAGCCCGAGAGAAAGAGAGGGAGAGACACTTTATAGACTCTCTCTACGGCTTATTATATTATGTACCCCGTGCGTGTGTATATATATACACGTATATGTACATATATATGTACATATATATGTATATGCGGTGTATAATGTATGGTTTCGTAACGAGACTATTTTCTGCCACTACCGAAAAAAAGCCAATTGCCTCTTCTGCCGAAGACACGTTGTCGACATCCTTCGCGCGCGCAAAATGACGGAATTTATTATAAAACCGGCTCTTATATCCCTCTCGCGTATTAAAAATTCATATTTCACTCAATTTGCTCGGCAAATTCTCCGTCGTTTCGGTTTCGAGTAATCGATAGGCCACGTCGTCAACTGGTACCAAAATCTCGGCGAAACACGGGTATCGAAACGCGTCTTCGGTCACGCCACGGGAGAGACGCGGAAGCGGCCGCGTTATCGGATGCGTCGCGTCGGAATTGTTTCTCCAAAAACGATGTTAAAATGTACCCCCGTAAGGAAACGGTCGATGTGAGCGACGCACAAGACGACTCGCTCGTGAACATCGAAGATAGGAGAAGGTTTATCGATTCTCTTCTCGGACATCAAGTGGTCCTTCTCTGGAAGCCTCCTCCGTTGCGTCGCGAAATTATTCTCGCAGAGACCACAGGCGATCCCGTGCCAGACGGTATTTTATAAGTGACACGTACACGTGCACAAATACAGAGACGACGTTCCGTAACGAGATCATTGCGCGCGTCCCACTCTCTCTTTCTACCCTCTCGGCCCTGAGAAAAGAAAAAAAAAGAGAAAAGAAAACAGTAAATTGCCTCTGCTGAATATGCATTCATCGTCGTGCCATACACGATACGAAAATATGAGCGGAAATGCCACCCGATACGCACGCGCAAACGACGAGGTCGACCTGAAAATTCACTCGGGGTATTTTCATTTTAAGATAAACGTGCGCGCGCGAGGGTGAGAGAGAGGGAGGGAGGGGAAGGAAGGGCGGGAGGGAGGGAGGGAGGGAGAGAGAGAGAGCTGTTGCGCGTCACGTCACGTCCGGCTGAAACGCGGCTTTCTTGCACGTCGCCGATTATTTCCGCGACTGATGGCGACGCATCGATTTTCGCCGAATCGAAATGCGAATTTCCGTAGATTTTATCGCTAGACAGAGAGACTCTGTTTTCCTCTCTCTCCCTCTCTCTCCTGTCGGAGTGCCATTGCGAGCAGGAGGTTTCTCGCGACGAAGAGACGTGGCGTATTATTTTTTACGAATCGACACTCATGATTTTTCCGATACGACCAAAAACAGAAGGAAATGCATGACACTCGAAATGCACATCGTTGCGAATATCAACGTATAATACGCGGCTCGGCATTCTTTTTATCGCGACAAAGAGTGAAAGAGATAGAAGGGATAGCCGTCACGAGTGAACAAAAGCAGCGATCGCTTTCCCTCGAGCAATTATCGACGCGATTAAACAAACGCGATAAACGTATAATAAATGCGAAAGGAATGATCAGTTAATTAAATATTAACGATCATCGCGTGCGCGCGCGTGTCGGCGCAATTTGTTGCGGCGCCGGCACACGATTTGTTCGATTAACTTGACGTTTCTTCAGTCCCGTTCAGCCAAGCCGTTTTTTTTCTCTAAATATAAATACACGAGACCTTGGCAATATCTTTGCAACGACACTTCACGCACTCCTCTGGTTTTATCGCGGAAAATCGCCCGTGGTAATTCGTGGTGGTATAACAGCGCAAAATACACACCTTAAAGCCGTCATCCTCCTCATCTTCCTCGGGATTGTAGGTCTCCGCGAAGACGCTCTTCCTTCTGGTAGCAAATCGGCCGACTGGTGGCTCTGAAACGTGGAGGAGGCGTTTCAATTTAAGTCCCGATATAATTGCAATCAATTTGCCAGAAATGAGAGGAATCGAATCGGCCGAGCTGCAATGGCACTTGGCCGAATCAAGTATGAAATAAGATGCGAGGGTCATCGTAACAGTTCAACTTATCCCGACGTATTCATTAACGCTTATTAATATGACACGAAGGATGCGGAGATCGGAGTGAAGAGAAGCAAGAAAGATATAAAGGAGAAACGGTGAAGGAAAGATCAAGTGATCAGGGTGGCGATTCTCAACGTCATGCGAATGAGATGCGCATATGAAAATCCTATAGTTTACATTACGTATACTATAAATTTTCGCATGCGTATCTCATTCGCACACCGTCAAGAATCAGGCGCCAGACCAGCGCTTCGGAAACGGACTATATTGTTCTCTCTAAATTTCTTGGAGTGAAATCTCACTCGAAACGAGTGAAAAGTGGCAGTATTTTCGCTCAAGACGATAGTGAAAATAATGTCATTCGAAGAGTAAATCCCACTCAAGTATAGAGTGGATTCTGACTCCATACGAATGAATGCTTCAGTCGACTGAAATAAGTATGTGTTCCTCTATAACGGTGGAATACATCAAATTTACTCTTCAGTTTTGAAGATATTCACTCAATGATTCAGAGAATTTATTCTATACAAATGAAAAATCACTCGAATTCGAGTCATAGTCATTCTACTTTTACTTACTCGAGTGACTGAATTTTATTCCGAGACATTTATAATATAACAATGATACAACTGAATGCGTTCTGGTTGGAGGAAACAGAATTCCTGGTTTGCAAGAACTGAATTTGTTTCATAGAAACTGAAATAATATCTCCTTGAACAAAAACGAATTTAGTTGTGTCATTGTTACTGTCTTTTCTCCGTGTGAATTTTTCATTCAAGCCCAGATTCTGGATTCTGACTCCATATGAGCGAATGTTTCAGTCGATCGGAGTGAATATGTATGACGATGGAATACATCAGATTCGTTCTCCAATCTCGAGTGAAGATATTCACTCGACGGTTCAGAGTGAAGAATTCAGTCCATAGGAGTGAGAAAGCTCCTTGAATTCCAGTGACTCGGTCGTCACTCTGCTTCTCAAATGAAATTTCATTGCATGAAAAATTCAGAGAGTTCAATATCGCGAGCAAAACAACTCCTACGGATGTGCGTGAATGCAGTGTGACGTATGATTATGAGCAATCCGCGGAGACTTGCACGGGGTGTCACACAATATACGGAGTCGTACAACTGTCGCGAATGACGACGTGAAACGTCGAATGTGGAATTTTGTTGCAGCTGACTAACCGACGATGCGCGCGTTCGCGCCGATTAGCCACCTGCCGAATTATGTTCGATACATTTGCGTAACCGGGTAATTGCTCACGAAAGGAGACTTTCCGAGAACTCGATATGGAGCACGAGTCGTCGTGTAAAAACTTATCAGTCATTCAATTATGCAAATGCGAAGACTTGCATTGGCGCGGCCGCTGCTCGTTTGTCAACCGTCGACGAAGCCGTAATTAAAAAAGAAGAGGGAAGAGAGAGAGAGGGAGGAAAAGGAAGAAGGAAAATTACAATTTCACAGGAGCTCTTCTTGACGAATTCGCGAGTGATCTTTCCTCGAAGGAAATGTCCAGGTATGGCTGAGCACTATTCAAAAGCAAAGCAAGAGCTCTTCGGAATATGGAGTGAATTAACTTCACTTGTGTTACTTTCGCACCTTTGTCATCTACTGGTTCGATGACGGAGATGAGCGACATTCGGCCTGCGGAAAAAAGGACGGCGACAACGCAGAAGAGACTCGCCAAGCGAGAATTCGTCTTGGTTATCTGCTACACGCTTATGCACACTCTTCTACACTCGATACGAAACAAAGGTACCGGCGACGCGGAGCAGGGCGTAGTGTTGTACTTGTCGTGTCTGCGGTTTCGTTCACAAGTAACTTATTTGCACATGAATTAGTCACGGTGCGAACGCTGAGAAGGAAGAAGTCGATAAGCTAGTGTCAGAGCGACGGTGAGAGATGTTGCGAGTGCAGAATGTCGGACGATTATTACAATGATAATGCGTGGAATATTTCGCGATTATGTCGGAACTGCTCGAGTCTTATGCAATACTCATGATTAAAAGATGAATGAGAATTGAAATTCGGAAGGTGTCCGAGACATGACGACCTCCCATTGCATTTTTTTTCTTTGGACACAATCGAGTGAAATTTTTCAGATAAAAGCGAAAATGTGCGCGCTCATCCTTTGATCTTGGCCGATCTTCACGACAAACGAATGAATAAAAAATATTTATATTTGTAGATAGATAGATGATGAAGAGATACGCGATCGGACAAATGCAAAGAAGGCAATTGCCTTTTTAAATCTCGCGTGTACTCGCCGACATCCTACGACTCAGACTCTCATTGGGTCCGCTTTACACTCGTGATACCTTCGCACCTTCGAAAGATTTGTCAGTCCTGGTTGGACAGTAGGTGTAGCAAGTCTTCAGTCTTTGCTCTAAGAAACAGAAATTGTAACATAATTTCTAGCAAAAGGCTTTTCTCGCGCGTGGCCAGAAGCTATAATAACGCTCAGACGCCTTCTACAATAAGCAGTAAGATGTAAGATGTAATAAGAAAGTTGACCAATCATTATCAATTAAACCATCAAATGATTCACTGTGATTAGTGAATTTACTTATTGCTTACATCTTATTGCCTATTGTAAAAGGCTTATTAAAGTTAGGGATTGTGACGAGTGCACACAAAAAATATGTACTGCTTTGAAGCAAATGTCACTTCATGTATTTCAAGTATTTCATAAATTGATATACCTGTAAATTTGTCATAAGTTTATCATACGCAAATTTGTTCAAAATACACTTTGAGTCCTAATAAGTTTAGCACCTAAATTAGAGGAAAAATTCGATTTCTTATTGTACAGTTTTCTTATTGTACGGTTTTCTTATAGTATAAAATCAAATTAACTTTTTTTTTATAAAGTTTTCTGATACTCTCGTAAAGAGAATAAACTTCTCCTTTTGAGCACATGCTAATAAGCTACTCCAACATTTGTCATGAATATATTTAAAAAAGACTGTTATCAGGAAAATATTCTTTCTTGGAAGTAACTATTATATCAAAGAAGGAAAGTAAACTGAGCGATCTGTTTTTCTCTCGGCAGTAGAATGGTATTTTTCTACGTGTGGTAATGAGAGCCTTTTGTCAGGAATTACGTTACAGTTTGGCCTTGGAGCAAAGGGCTGAAGCTTATTATTCACCTACCGTGGACCGGGCCTTACCTCTCGTCAGAGGAAAGCAGAGAAAACGAAAGAAACTCTCCAAAGGCGCTCACGAGATATCACATCTATAGTAATTCGCTCGTACAGCGAAGAGGAAACGTGGAGAGATGAGGAGCGTTGAGAGGTGTAGTTAAGGACAAAGCTGAGATTCGCTCTCTATAATTATGCCGGCAAGAGGACACGAGGTACGACGCAATGAGACGAGACACTGGTCGCGGTATATCTCGCAGAACTGGCAAGATCTTACGAGCGAAATCGGGCAAATCGCGTTCGTATGCGAGAATGTAACAGTAACCTCGCGACAGCGCCTGACCGGACCGTTGGCGCGACTGACCAAGTAGCGACAGCGACGAAGACGACGACGACGACGACACGACAACGGCGTCTGCTCCGAAATCGCGCGCAGGTCTCGGCAAGTTCTCCGGCCGGTACGTCCATTCCTTCGTACGATCTTTCAACGGCGACATCGTCGCAGCCGCTGGGGAACGCGACATCAACGCTGGTAAATTGTTGACTTCGTGGTCGGCTATTTACCGAAATACGCCGCGCGACGATGCCACCGGTGAGCGACGGTAATAACCGTATCATCTCTAAGGTTACGACACGACGCGCGATAACGTTACAGGTCTGGAGGCACCTTAATCCCGGAGCAGGCGCGTGACGTGTGTCACGGCGCAGCCTTCTTTAACCCCTAACTTTGACGTTGTGTCCTCCATAAAGTTGGTGCGCAAAAAGAGAGGCTTTATTTAGACGTGAGATGAATTCTTCCTTTCTCTCCCTCTTGATCAAATTCATTCCACAAGGGAGAGAGAGAGAGAGAGAGAGAGAGTGAGAGAGAGAGAGAGGGGAAGGGGGAGAAAACGGACAAGGTCGGATTGAAGATTAATGCACTGCAAGTTCACGAGTGCGCGGATTATTGCGAATTGCCAATCTTGCGCGTTGGACAGAGATAACGATAAAAATGATGGGCGATCGCGATAACAGCTTAGTCGTAAATTTCGTTTTTTAACAAAAAAAGAAAAAAAGAATAAATATTGGAGAGTCGTAACATGTAGTCGCGATCATTCATTTCTTTTATCGCGATTTGTCAATTTCGCAATTGTATCTCGATGGTTCTTCCATTTTTTGGTGACTATAATATAGACACGAACACACGATACTAATCGTGCTTGTAATTTCAGACTTGACTCGACAATTTGGCGCTTAAAGTACATCGGCTGTTAGGGAAATCGACATTTTGAATGAAGATGATCTGGTGCGCGTATTTAACCGAGAAAAGGATCGGATAATTTCTAGTTTTTTAACACCACTTTCTTCGTGGAAAGTCCTCTCGATTTGGCACGCTCGCTTCGGGAAAAAACGAGGTATCTCCTCTCTGAGTGAAAATCGCTCAAAGAGAGTGTGCCAATATTCGTAAGAATTTCAAGTCACGTCTATCGATAACGTTTAACTGTGGACGATACTGGAATGTTCAGTCGTTAATTATGTGAAAACACACACAGGCGTTCGACACATTCGTTCACGTCGATTTCAGATGAATCGTGTCGGATGATCGCTTTAACGATTTCTTCTAGTGATTTCGTAACGCTCTGCACAGCAATGGACAATTCGGTTAAATATGATAAACGTTTGCAGGATCGTCCCTGAAACGTCGCGAGAGAGAAAGACAGAGAGAGGGGATGATGACAGAGAGTGAGAGAGAAAGAGCGCGCGCGCGCGAGAGAGAAAGAGAGACTGATTGACAGGCTAAAGGTGAGACTCACCCTCGTCAACGGACTCGTCCGGCGTGGACGAGCAGGTCTGCGTGTCCGGTCGGATCAGCTGCGTTTGCCGGGCGTCTCGTAGCCGCGTGAAGAAGTCCACGGCATAATCGATGATGTCGCCGGGCTGCTCCAGCAGGTAGCTGATAGTGAACTCCAGCAGGACGTCGCGCAGGTCGTCCGGCACAGTGATCTTGCCGGCGTTTCGTTGACAGCTCATCTTCGATCTCGCTCGCGGTCAATAAGACAACGAGATCGTCGATGACACCCGCCGCGGACACACGAAATATCTCTCTTCTTTTCCCACTTGGCGGACCTCGCGACGCGCTCCACCGTTCGCGTTCCTCGCGTCTCGCTCTCTGCCGTTACTACGTTCGTACGTTCAGCCGAAACTCTTGTCACGCGTAGTCTGCGCGCGTTACGTGTCACACGTACGTCTCGATGGGCTGGAGGAGCGAGAGCAGCCCCGGGGCCGAGACCAGGGCCAGGCGAGGAACGAGAGTGTTCAACGCGTACCGCCCACCTTCGCCTTGCTGTTGACCGTCGCTGCCGCCGCTGCTGTTGCTGGCCTGTTCTCCCGTCGTCGTCGCGCCGCGCCGCGCCGCCGGCCGTCGTTCGTGCACCGGCAACAACCAACGTCGCCGTCGTCGCCGCCGCAGCCGCCGACAAGCTCCGCCGTCGCTTCCACGCGGTGCCGCGATGATCCTCGCCGACGGGTTGCTGCTACCTGCCGAGACGACGCTGCGCACAGTCGCGCAGAACATACGACGGGAGCGAGGCACGAGAAGGAACCAACCGCGCTCGCTAAGATGGCGACTGATACAGCACCTCCGCACCCTCATCAATGTCGCGGCTCTCGCGTTATCGCGCGAGATAGCGCTGTTCTAGGGAGAAGAGACGCGCAATTCACACTGTCCCTGATTTTGGCGCTTTTCGGACGAATTTCGATATGTGTTTTCGGTGTCCAATGGGATCATTCGATCTCTAGGGTCGTCTGCGGCGCTGGCATCTCTGTCACCAGAAAATCCCCGTCGGTTGTGAAGCGTTCAGCCAACCATGAAATTTACCATAGGGTGCTCGCAGAGTAGTTCAAGTTATTTCGAGTCAAGGCTAATTTATAATGGCCATAAAGGCCAAATCACACTAACGATTGGCGATAGATGATTGACGATTGAAGATTGGAATTTGAACAATTGGAACAAAGCAAGCCAAGGCTGAATCTTGTTGATTCGTTAAAATCTAATCTTTAATTATCAATCGTCAATCGCCAATCGTTAGTGTCATTTGGCCTTAAGTCCCGATCTATAATAGCCCCTTGTCCATAACCTTGCTTTAATTCTTAAGCCGTAAGAAATTGACCAATCACAATTGATTATTTTTAAAATAATCGACTGTGGTCAATTTATTAAAAATTAAAGTAAAGTTGTAGACAAGAGATATGTGTAGTAAGCTTTAAGAAATTAACCAATCACAACTGATTATTTCTTTATAATTCGACTGTGATTAGTCAATTTCTTAAGGCTTAAAACTTACTACATCTATTGTAGATCAGGACTAATCCGTTAACTTATGCCGGAACCGTAAAAAATTGACCAATCACAGTCGGTTATTCTTCTATAATTCGACTATGATTGGTCAATTTTTTACGGTTCCGGCATAAGTTAACGGATTACGGCCATCATAAACCAACCTTAGAGCCTCCGCACAAAAACATCCGTAGCATGTTAAGTTTCTTTCGCCGAACAGGCTTTAGGCCTGTTCTACAATACGTTGTATGTCGGAGTCGGATGTCGGAACGTAGTCGATGGGTCAATCACAGGATTTGTTTTTCGAGAAGAGTTCTCCTGATTAGACTATTGATTGCGTTCCGACATCCGACTCCGACATACGACATATTGTAGAACGGGCCTAAAGGTGCGGCTCCAATGGTCCGTAAACATATAGCTGATTGCAACATTGTCGCATTTCCACAGTCCAGTTACTAATGGCTCCTGCATACAAGACGCGGTAATGCTTGCCGCGCGGCGGAAGTCCGCGCGACAGCCAATCAATATGTTGTTTTTCCGTAAGAGCTAGAAGGTTATTACGGAAAGCAGCATATTGATTGGTTGTCACGCGAACTTCCGCCGCGCGGCAAGCATTACCGCGTCCTGTATGCAGGAGCCATAACTCTTTACGATAATCATAAAATTGTCACAAATAAAAATTAATTTCTCTGAAACCGTATTGTGAAAACTAATCAAATTCTGCAAATAGTTTCGATAATTCAGGATCTATATGTATAAAAATACTGAAATTTTGGTACTATTTTTTCTATTAATTTTTGGTAGGTTTTTACTCATTACATTCAGGAAAGTTGCTTTTGCCATAAGAACACGTGTAAAATTAACATAATTACTCTTTAACGATTTAGTGAATCGACTTGAAATTGTTTTCAGTGTATTATAGATAATTAAGGAAAAGTTACCCAAAGTTTTATTAAATTGGTACTATTTTTATATAGCTCAGATATATTCTTAGAGTGCGTTTCCACTTAGCGCGTCACACGTCGCGTCATCCGAGTTAAGCCAATCAAATCGTCCCATTTTATTTGTCGTAAAGTTAGGCAATAAAATGGGACGATTTGATTGGTCCGCGACGGACAACGCGACGTGTGACGCGCTAAATGGGATCTCAGCCTAATGCTCAATTTTTTCACCTCCGGTTAACTTTATCTGTCGGTTAAATGTCAACTGTGATTGGTTAATTCTTGCCACCATAAATATGATTGGTCAATTCCAATAGAATAACTGGCAGATAAAGTTAACCGGAGGTGAAGAAATTAGGCATAAGGGCTATCGCACACAAATTGACATAACTGCTTATGCATAGCATAAGATCGTATGGACCAATGAGCATCGAATATTAAGCATCGAACACCAATATGGCGACTTAATACTCGATGCTCATTGATACATACGGTCTTATGCTATGCATATGCAGTTATGTCAATTTGTGTGCGATAGCCCTAAGGCTCTACTATTTCTGGGGCGGCCATATTATTTTGATGATATCAACTCTGACTTTCTACGAGGAGATAACAGAGCCTTAATATAAAATTTGGCATTTATATATAATTATGTATATTACAATGGGTGCTTACAATAGTTGCATTTAATAACACAAGTCGACACAAGCATCCTATCTTAGTTACTTATTGAATATGGAACAAAGACAGAATGAAATATATGTCGACTTGTGTTCCCAGGAAAAAAAAGTTCAAATAAAAGCCAGATATGGATTTTGTCAAGATCTAATCAGATATAATTCAGATATGATTCAGATCTGTCTATATATAATCATATATAATTCAGATATGATTCAGATCTATCTATATATAATCATATATAATCATATATACAATTATATATGACTATATATGGACAGATCTGAATCATATCTGAATTATATTTGATTATATCTAATCAGATCTTGACAAAATCGATATCTGGCTTTTATCTGAACTTTTTTTTCCCGGGTTATTAAATGGAAAGCACCCAATATGTATTTTTTGTTTCATATACGTATATAAAATTGTATTAACTGTATATAATACTTCTATCCTTATCTCGCGCTATAATGTTAGCAATTATTATTTACATTATAATGTTCTCCGAACATTTTTCCGTAAGCACTCTTTTTATTACTGGAATTCTAGTGACGCGTGAGAGCCTGTTTCTGGTAATTCATTTAGGGTACGGTTCAGTAAGCGCTACAAATGCTCTGTAATGTTTTTATTTCTTTCTCTTTCTTCATTCGAATCCGAGATATAGAATAAGAAAGAGAAACGCTGCGCAGCATTCGTAACGGTTATTGGACCGCGCCCTTAGTGATTGCACAAGCAATTCACTTATTATTCGTAATTTTCGCATTTCCACAAAGTGAGTTTCCGTTCTATGTCTCGCTGTTCGCGGTTGGTGGCAAGATGATAGACAGCTTGTGACCTAATTGTACAAGAAGAAAAAGAAGAAAGTGGCGGCGAAGGATCGTTTATCATGTCCTGCAACTTCAACGAGAACGTCGATTTGAACGCACGGTTGCGACGGGGCGATCTGAATTTTTGAGAAGGACCCGCAATCCGGAAGATGCAGTACGTAACGATTATCGTCCACCAAGTCTCCTGCCCGTGCGCGAACGCTGAAGATATTTCCCTCTTTTCTCTCCTTCCCGATGCTGTCACTTTTACTTTCGAAACAGCTGTTCGTCGATACAGCCGATCAATCTCGTCGTGCGGATCGATTTCCCCTCGCGAAATCAACGGGTCCGTTTTTGTAGAATGTCACGTCTGCCCCTTATCAGCGTCAGCACTGTTTGTGTTATAGCGCGATGTGTCATAACACAACACGTCCTCTGCAACTGTCAGTACCAAATGAGACGGAGACGCTTATACATACGCGGGTAATCACCGAAAATACGTCGCAGTCGTTTGGCAAGAGGAAACGCGTTATAACGTAAACAAGCTTTGTTTATCGATCGCCCTTTGATTATTGTTCGCTCGACGGGTATGTAAAAATACAATCGTGCTTTTCTTTGACAGAGAAAATAGCTGAGAAAAATACCACATTAAAGACTACCCCTGTCAAAAGGATTGCATCATTTTTTCAGAATAGAATTTCAGAATTGAGTTTGTATTACAAAGGACGAATGAGGGTCGTAACTCAAGCATTTGAAGTAACTTCTCCTATTTTTACATTTGGAAGTTTTATAAAATAACTCTCTATTTAGTAAATAACTTAAAATAATAATTACAGAATTATTATTTTATATCACAAAATCAAATTTTTATATATAATGTCTCTTGTGTATAGTTCATGATTTTCTTTAATTATGATATAAATAATTTTATATATTTAAAATAATATTAAATAAACATAGCTGTATTATAATTAAAGTTATATAACATTTTAAATAAAGCCTATGCTTTTTATTGTTACCTTTGAAATTTTTTAAATATAGAACAATTTTTTTCTTAAGACTGTAATGTTTCTTTCATATTTTGGTTAGAAAAAATTGTTACATTTCTGACGCAATACTTGTGTAATGTTATTTTGTTGATGCAATCTTTATTCTATGTAGAATAACATTGTGTTATGAAATCTTTTTTTCATACTGTTTCTATCTCAGTAGAAATTTTATGGAAATTATATTTTTTCAAGTTTTTAAAATTTTTAAATACATATTTTTTGTTTTGTTAATTAAAATTTACAACTAAATATAACTATAACTATAATTATAAATATAACTATGAAATGGTAATAATTATGTCGACATATTCTGTTACAGATATGGAATCGTTTTTACAACTGTTTAACTCACCAGATGACAAGAGTATGAGGACAAGGAAGAGGCAGTGGGACGACTCAGAAAATGAGGGGAATGGTATGTCAGATTGCGAGACTTCTAGTGTCGAAGAAGATCAAGAGGTCTGCTTGCCACCAGAACCTGAGCAGGGGAACATAGAGTACAAATTAAAATTGATAAATCCGTCTAGTCAACGTTTCGAACATCTCGTCACACAGATGAAATGGAGGCTGAAAGAGGGTCAAGGAGAAGCGATCTATCAAATTGGTACGAATTATCGCGACGATATAACACAGTGATTCGCTTTATTCTTTTCTCTTTACTCACTACGCGGAATTATCACGCACAGGAGTGGAGGACAATGGAAGGTTAGCAGGTCTGTCGAAGGAGGAGATGAAGGCATCTTTAAAGACGCTGAAGGACATGGCCTCCAGACTGGGTGCTACTATAAGTATATTACGCGAGCGTGTGGCCGCAAGTTCCGCGAATAAGGCCTTGGTGTCGCAGAGCAATAGTAGCAATAATAACAATAATAATAAAGAAGAAAAAAAAGTTGCTGAAGTACTAGTGAAAAAATTGAGGAAGGACGACAGAGAGGATCAGGATAGTATCGTAGATCTGAGACTGGCGGTTACCGGTGCGCAGGATGCTGGAAAGTCGACTCTCTTAGGTGAGAGGATTAGCAGAGGATATTTAAGGTATAGAAACATACACTGACGGTCTGCCTTTCCGTTGTTCCTCCGGACACTTGCTCATCCGTTTTTCACTTTGTAGAAATGTCGGCAAAGAGAACGATTACACAGATTGTAATTTAGATGTGATTTGTACGTAGGTGTGCTGACACAGGGTGAGCTGGACAATGGTAGAGGTAGAGCCAGACTTAATATGTTGCGTCACCTGCACGAGATAAAGACCGGTCGCACGTCTTCGATATCACATGAGATCATCGGGTTCGATAGCGCGGGTCATGTGTTGAACTACGCTGAGATGGCTACGGCCGAAGAGATCTGCGAGCACGCCTCGAAAGTCGTCACGTTCATCGACTTAGCTGGGCATCGAAAATACTTAAGAACTACGGTGCTTGGGCTGACAGGTGTGTAACTTTTGGATTTCTATAACTGGCACGTAATATGCCAATAATTGCAGGACACAATATATATATAATTTAGATTTAAAGACTATATATATATATATATATATATATATATATATATATATATATATATACACACACTGCTCAGGTCTAAAAATAACTACACTCTTTTAGGATATTCGCCGCATTACGTTATGTTAGTCATAGCGTCACGTCTGAACGAGGCGTCGCAGGAACATATGGCTCTCTGTTTAGCTTTAAAGCTTCCCTTCTTTATCGTCCTAAATAAAATTGACTTGGGATTCTGCGTCACGTCCGAGACACTGACTCAACTTGAGAACGCTATGAGGACACAGGGCTATCCCAAACAATTAGTATCATTTAGTAATAATGAGATAGATGGACCGTGGGATTACGCATCCGACGTGATACCAGTATTCAATGTTAGTTGCGTCACTGGCGAGGGTCTCGAAGAGCTGACTAAGTTTATAAAAAATTTGGCTCCTTACGAAACAAATTCGATAGATTCGGACCCGGAATCCTGTCTATTTCAAATTGACGAGACCTTCAGGTACGCATTAATCATTTTTTAAGATAATTGGCAAACAAATTTGACACAGTTTTACTAATAATTGCGGCATTTAAAGATTTGCAAAAGACTTGCAGATTGTTAATAGAAGAGAATGTTGTATGACTATATTTCTTTCGTTTTACTTGATCCAGGGTAGCTGGTTTGACGCAACCAGTTTTAGGAGGATTACTCGTTAAAGGGGTGATAGCACCAGGAAAACGTTTGTTAGTAGGACCCTTGCCAGATGGAGAATTTAGTCCGGTCAAAGTGGTTAGTCTACACCGTAATAAAGCTCCGTGCTGTTTAGTTAGAGCGTCGCAGAGCGCTAGTCTGACATTGGCACCGCCGACAAACCGTAGCCCTCCTTTGCCGCCTCTTCGTCCTGGGATGGTTTTAGTTTCTACGTGCGATCAACCGCATGCGACACTTTTCTTTCAGGTGCGTGTAACAGACCTTATTGTTCATCATACTATGTATAGCTTGACTGTTTCGAATATTTCATTCTATGTGAAATCGTCTAACACAAAATTTGTCGGTTATCATGGCTACATTTGGACGTTCTCATATTTTGCACATATATGTCTCTCGGCAAATAAAATTGATTTAAAAGAAATATTTTTCTTCATTTTCGCACACAAATGTACATATTTTGTCGTTTTAATCATTTTACAAAATCAGAAATAATATTGGAAATATTGAAAAAAGCAATTATTCATAAGAAATATTGAAATCTGTTTGATCAATGTCAAATCGTTTGACAGAAAACAATGAAAATATTCAAGATGGTCGAGTTTCATATTTCTACTTATGAATCGTCGTAAGTCTAAGTAAAAATGCACTATATTTTAGGCGACGGTGATAATAGTGTATCATGCGACAGCAATATTTTCGGGCTTTCAAACGACAGTACATGTGGGTAACGTGAGGCAGACTTGCGTCATCGAAGGTATAATGGATATGACTGAGCGGGGTTTGCAGACAAACGACACCGCCTCCGTGTTGTTTAGGTTTGTCAGCCACCCGGAATATCTCCATGTTGGAATGCGTCTGCTATTCAGGGAGGGCCGTACCAAGGGGATCGGTAAAATAACGCAGATCTTCCCATTGATCGGATCGCGGAATTCGATGAAATGAAAGAAATTAGCGCAATGTAATATAATATTCGAGATATACCGTTTTCTATAGTATTTATGTATACGTATCATAAAGAAAGGAGGAGATAAATACATGTTTTATAAAAGTAGGGTCGTACCACTACTGATGTTACTGGCGTGATAAAATGATTGAGTTTTATTGTACATTGTTCGAAACAGTGAAGGTCATTCTTTCTCGATGTGTTGGTTTTGTATATTTTTCTTTGTTGTGAGGACACTTGCCTCAACATCTCGGCATCTCGACGTCAAGATTATTAGCCGAGTTCGAGAACAGATTTCCTAGTATCTCTCCTATTTGATAACATAATCTACAGTAGAATCGTAAAAATGTACAAAAGAGTCAGCGAGAAAGCATGCGTGATAGAATTGTAGACTTCTATCTTGTTTGTTTAATAGTTTAATAGTTTCTTTTGTTCAGGGTGTGACATTTTATTGATCAGAACTGGAATTTTGAGTTTGATTTTTATTATGCGATTTTATATTATTTTGATTTTTTTGTTAGACACCTTAAAGATAACTGACTTCTTTATATTGATTTCTTTATCGTTGGAATTTAACTCGATCTGTGTGTGTAGAATTGTCCAAAAGTTCGACTTTATTAAAAAAAAAATTCGTTATTGTGTCGAGCAGTGTATTAATACGTCCTCGAAAAAGAGAATTTATTTTCGTGTGTCACAAACATAGTTAGAGATATTATTAGGATATGTCCAAAAAATGGAACAAGCAGTACATTTTTGAGTCAATATAAAAAATTTAATGGATGGTTTATATTTTTTGAATTTATGTGCAGAGCGTAGTTGGGATTTTCTTTGTTACAAAAACAAACTTTGCCTCGTTAATGGTCCCGTATATGTAGAAAGATTATTTTCTTAGAAAGATTATTAGATTATTTTCTAAGAAAGAAATTTTTTTTTCTATTGGTGTATTATATATGCAAAAACTGTTATATGTACTTAAAGATTTCTATTGTTTTAATTATTAAATTTTCATACATTGAGGTTTGTATGATAGACTTAGATGTGAAAAAATATCGATTGTTTTATTTCTTGTGTCGGGACTGCAAGTGTTACTTCTTAGAACTACGCTGTTTTTATGTCCTTGATAATACATGCTATTAGACATAACTTCGAAAGCACAAAACTTGGTTTATTTCATATTCTTTGTATTATTGTATTCTCATGTACTTTGTAAGATTGCATTCGCAAAAATTCTAATCTTGGTAACAAAGCTCGTTACATGCATACTTAGAAATTTCAAAAAGTAAAAGAAAAAAGCGAATGTGATGATAATCTTCGTTCTGTATTCTACTAATTACTGCTTGAAAATAAAATTCGATGACATTTTAATGATATATATTTTCTTGATCACTATGTACAAAGAAAAGTGAGTCGATGTATATTCTTAAATAAACTTAGACAATCGATTCTGACGATTTAAAATATGATGCGGTGTATATTATTTTATTCAAAGTAGCACTACATTAAATGATAATGCCAATAGTTTAATATGACAGCTCTTTCATAATTTTTTTCCATTATATCCTTTGATAGTATTATTCTGCACATAGTATATATAGTCAGTGACAGAAAGAGTTGCGATATTTTTTTTCAATGAATTTTGCAATGCATTCGTACCCAATAGAGAGAGTTTTGTTCTTTAGTAATAGCGCTTTTAAATGCACGATTTTAATTGATCTGCGATTGATTAATGCCCGTATCAGACTATGAATTAAGGATTGCAGTTAGACCAGTCAAGTAAAACAGAACTAAGATTTATATTATCTGATTAGTCCAATTGTGACCCTCAATTCATAATCTGATATAGACATAATGGAATGTTCAAGCCTTTATTCTGTTTACCAAGTTCTGTGATTCACTATTAGAGTCTTATGATGCCATTATTCCATTACTATGACTCCAGATCAATCAAAATTTGTGCACTTGAAAACGCTATAAGTTTCGGACTAGTTTCTAGTGGTGAGATAAATTTTTCTATCGAACTTGTATGTGCGTTCTGAAGTTAGCCAAGGTACGAAAGTGTTGCAACTTTTCTTCCACTGACGATATGCGCGCGCATTTGTCTTTTCGACAGACACGAATTGCGCGGTTATAACCGTCACAGAGTGACGACTGGTGGATCTCAATGTTGGAGAAATGCAGCTAGTCGAGTCGAGGTATGCATTTAACTACATATTATCATAACGCAAAAACGCGAAGATATACGATAACGGCTTTGTAAAGAGAATTTTAAATGAATCAGCTGCTGCGCTGACTACGAGACGGAAAGAGACAGAGGGAGAGAACAGTTTCTGGCGTGACGTTGGAGCGAACCTTTCGAGCGGAGTCAACGTGCACGAGCTTTCACCAGAACGGGCCACAGCTCCGGGTTACGATCGGGCCTCTTCGTCGCTCTCCTCGAAATCGGTTTCTGCACCTCGCACGTTCACCTCCCACTTCGGTAATCGCTCCTCTCTCCCTCTCGTGCGCGCGACTTTCCACCCGCGACCGAGACGAAACCGACCCGCTTCCACGGCACGCCGCCGATAGATGGAAATCATGCTGTCGTCGTGGACGATTTGATATCGTCATCGATCGCCTGCTCCATTGTTCCTTGGATCACGTAGCGTTCCTTCGCGAATCCTGTCATTTGCCTCCGTAATTACAGCTTGTGCGCTCGTCTACGCCTTGACCTTCCTCTATGTAGATCCGCGCGAGGCATTTGAAATTACACGTTTCTAAAACGCGGAAAATAAGACATCGGCGAGAGTAGAATCCGGCATTCATGGCGGCGGGCGTTTTGAGGTTACCCTATACAGACATCGCGAACGTCTCTGTGATACTGGATCTTTTAACAAGTAGGCAACATTTGAAGATCCATGCACAGCATAAACGTTTAAAAGATATCTTGAAAGATATCCTATTTGTTTTAGATATTTTTATGTCTGAGACGTATTTTAGACATTTGCGCTGATTGATTAAAATGTTCTATAAGAGGTCCTTTTACTGATAATACTGTTTCATTTTTAGGACACGTTCAGTCTTCAGGTACGCTCGCCCGCGAAAATCTAAGTCTCAAGTAGATATGGATAATAACGGAGTTCGTACATGGTTCAATCGCTCTTGCCAGTCCCCTGCACATTTTCCTAAAGATACTACAAAATACGCAACTTGCCCAGCTGTTTTCCAGAGGAGAAGATAAAGGAAAATGCACAACTCTTGCATAACGTTGCGTAACGCGCCGCCGCATGGAAGCCCTCGTCGTCAGCTGATAGTATAGACAAAATAACAATTAGCCGCTCTACAAATGTATCGCGTTTTAAGTGAGTTGAGCAATAATCAGCCTCTTTTCTGTTCGCCACGAGGAAGGAGAGAGCGACGCGGTCGTTCGCGGGGAGAGGGACAGAAAAAGAGAGAGGATCACCGGCAGTAGCTCGACGGCCGGAGAAGTAGGAGGAAGGCCAACCGGGATGGTGGTGATCGGATCCACGAGCGGCAGTCCATGGCGGGTAGTCGGCGCACAGTCAGCCACCACCTCGGCCAGTCGGTTGTAACCAGTCGGTACTTGGAGAACAGTTCTGTCCGCGGGGCCGCGGTAGTGCGCTTCTCGTGCCTCGGTTTACCTACTGCCTTCGGCTCATTTTCACTTGTCTGCTTGCGGAAGTTTCAACGGTTTGACTTTTAAGCTCCAGAACGAGATACGGTCACGACTTGATAGATCCGCTACGAGTGATTGGTAGCGTGTCCGCGAGCACGCGTCTTGACGCAGTCCCAGCAGCAAGTGCGTGGAGTGTCCCGATGTCAAGTGCTGAATGAAAACACATTTGTCCGGCATATAAATGATCGAGTGACCGCTCACGCGACGAGGAGGATACGAGAAGAGGTGTTCGAAGCGTGGGTCCTCGTTGACGCGAGGCGGCATCCCAGAAGAAGCTGCGGAAATCTGACTACGGATGGTTAATGTGAGTATTGTATTGCTGAGATCACGAACTATCTACGTGCGTGAGAGAATCGATATGATACACACCACGTGGTTTATTTTATAAACATACACGCATCGCAAATTGAGGTATCACATATCGGATGCAAATTCGGAGTCCCATTTCTCGAGGCGTTAATCGCGTTTAGAGACGTGGCCTTCGTATCTCCAGTTCAATTTTGCTTTCTGCACGTTTGACGAGTCGATTTACGTAGGCCTTGTGTTGAAAACGATGGCCCACTTCTCTTTGCTGGAATATAAGAGGCGGTTTCGAGTCACGAAAGGTCTCTTCGCCCACATCCCTCTTCAGCGGCTGCTTACTATATGGGAATTTCTAGTAAGGCGTGTCGCGTGCTATATGAGTAGAATCATTTCTTTCTCTACGTGAAAGTCACCCCGCTCAATTCAGCTGCGGTGCCATTGAATCCGCCTAATGAAATGGAAACTATTGGACCGCTTGTGCGGCAAGCGAACGCATAGTGGTAATTTGAATGCGAGGCAATGGCGCGATGGTAGCAGTTCCCCGCGTTGCTTTTGAACGAGAAATTTCGTCGTTCTGTAATGAAAGATGACTTTTTAGAATTTTGTTTCCATTACAGTATTTTATTATTTTAGTTCTCTCTCTCTCTCTCTCTCTCTCTCTCTCTCTTTCTTATTATCATAGTCCTATTAACATACATTAAAAGAAAAAAAATATTTATTTGAGTACTAAGATGAGTACTAATAATATATTTACTTAAATCTACATTCTTTTATTTCAATAGAATACACCATTGCTTTCATGGAAAACTAAGGTTTTATACTGAGAAAAGATACAGAAATTTATTTCTGTGAATAAACTTTATATCCCATATTTTGAAAGTACCTAATTAGTAAAATTCGCCTAATAAATAAAACTATTTATTTAGTGCATACTCTAGTATACACATATTTACTTACACTAATACAAAATATTTTTCAAATATACATTTTCTTACACTGAGAAAAGGTATTTGAAAATTTATTTGTGGGATATAAAGTTTATTTCTGTGAAATAAAATATATCTCTGTGAAAAATAAAGTTTATTTCGGTAAAATAAACTTCTATCCCCCACAAATAAATTTTCAAATATTTTTTTCTCAATATATAATATAAATTTTGTACGAGAATTTCAAATATCGCACTATCGGCCGAAATAGATTCATTTACTAGTTAGATGATTTCAAAATAGGATTATATAAATTCGTCTTTAAAATGGATCGGTGCCACAATTTGAAATGATATTTCATATGCAAATTAGCCGCGGTGCTAATGGGAGAAAGGTTACTATATTTATGCTTTTCCACGCGTCTAAGCTCTAAGAGTAACAGGAGATTTTTTACTGGAATGCTTTCATGGATTTGTTACGCTTCGCAGCGGCTTGTATTTTTTTAACACTCCAAACACATACTCTGTTTGTTCCCCCTTTCCATTGATCGTAATTTCTCCCCTATATATTTGAAAGGTGCGCGATTTCCTCTTTAGAAATCCAGTAGTTCTCAACGTTACAATATATCTGAATTCAACCATCATGACTAATTTGATTATTCCGATTATATTTAAATCTTTGAATAAATTTCTAGTATTACTAGTTCATAATAATATTGAAATTTGTACATTGAAGCAGTTTAAAAGTATGTCACACGATAAAGTGTCGACTGATAGATAACTTTGATTACTTCCATTATTTCATTTTTATATTACAATATTTTAAAAGTTTCGGAATTATTCATTCATGATAATATTCTAAATTACATATTAAAGCAATTCAAGTGGCGTGCAATAAATATACCACAATACAATCTCGTATGAGGTAACTTGTATTATACATTATTTATTCTCTGTTTATATAAAGCGTTTTTCTCATTTCGAATTAAGTGTTGCACCGTGATACTTATCAAAATAATATATTTTCATATTAAGATATTTAATGAGTAACTCTTTTACTATGTAGAAAGACAAACTGTCGTGAATGATACTTCCGAGCTCTTTCACGTTCCTATAATCGTGCATGAACTCAGTAATTTTAGCACTTAACTTGGATTACTATAATATCGCTGGCGAGCGTTGGACAACGTTCTTATGAAAGAGTCCATGCGGCCCTGGAGTATTTTTACTTTCAAACGCGTCGCCCATAAGCACGAATCTTCTTCTATACCTCCAAACATGTCTCAGACTCCATTAGCTTAGGTCAGTCATTCGAACCTTATAAGCGGACATAATCCGTGTAACACCTTCTTCCATTCTCGAAATGATACGCTTTCAAAAAAGAAGACAGGTTTTTATGACATCTGTCGCTTTCATAATACCCAACGTTGGTTGTTATTTTTTTTATTCCCGATCATAAATCATCGAAAATAGTGATATGGCTGTATTCTCTGAATTATTTTTACGTCGAGAAAAACTGCCTTTATACTAATGCTAGGTTATGTGATCGTAAAATACCGTGAACCATTGCAAGGTTAATTATAATGTGTGAAAATTGCTATACTATTATAATTATCGCAAGGCTAAAGGTACCAATTTTCGCACACGTACTTAATCCTGAATATTCTTATTGTTTTGATCTTTAAATACGAATGTATAAACTTTCAATATATATATATATATATATATAAAATACTTGAAAATTTATTTTGAAATTTCTTTTTGAAACAGATACATATTATTAAATTATTAAAGAATTATTAAAATAAGAGTGAATAGTGTCTTTAGATCTTAATTTCAGTATTTACGATCTGTTTTATGTTAAATATTCGTATCATGATTTTTGAAGTATCAGTACGTTACAAGTATCATGGGAATTTCATTCAAAGTTCGTATCTTCGAGGACTTCTTGGGACTTCTTTTCGTGGGCGTTCGCGAAGTTGATTCGTGTCTCCGAAATTGAAGGATCACGATGTTTTCGCGTTTTGCCCGGTATACTCCTCGGGTGTGATTATCGTATTGGGATAAATTCATTATGCGCTACCTCGGCAGTTATCACATCAGCGTGTTTGGCGTCTCGAATTTGTTACAGGACGCTCGTTGCACTTTCGCAGCGTAACAAAATCCGTGCCAGAAGATAATTCGGCCGTCAAATGAAAAAAGCGAGTAGAAAAGAGGGGGAGAAAAAAGAGAAAGATAAATGGATAGATAAATAGAGAAAAAGAGAGGGAGAGGGAAGGGGGAAAGAGGGGAGAGAGAGGGGGGAGAGGGAGAGAGAGAGAGAGAGAGAGAGAGACGAGGCACCTGTTACTCTTAGCGTACGCTCGACATGCTCGAGGAACTTGGAGTCGAGCGGCGCGAGATTCTCTACCTTCGTGAAACCAGGTCTTCTCTTCACGACCTCGAAACACACAAATTACGAAGCGTGAATACGTCGTATAGGAGCACCGATAGGGGAGAGACCGATGTCCAACAACATTGACATACACATATACAGAACACACGCGTCGTGTACACGTGGCGCATTGGTAGTACCGGCGTAGCTACGAATTGTCAAGGAACAGATCGTAGAAAGTTGTACCTCGAGACGTCCTCGGATAAAGGTAGGGGCGCGTTCTCGTCTCGCTGTGCTTGGAATTTACTGCTCTCTGTCAGACGCAACTCTCTTCGTTTCTCTTCTCGCCCGCGAGCGAAACCCGGCTGGAAAAATTCGTCGGCTGAGAGAGAAACGGAGAAACAGAGAGAGAGAGAGAGAGGTGGGGGAGGGAGAGGGAGAACGTCTCCTCCGGTACGTAGCCTCGTGATTTATTAATCCGCTACACGTTAAAGGCACGGGGAACGTATCGCGGCGTGGAACGCACCGGGCCCTTACGCGGGCCGACCGGCCGCGTCGTTACGCGACTCGACTTTTACATTCTCGCGTAGGTGTTGCGGTTTCCTCGGTCGGCCGCTCGGTCGTGCCGTAATAGTGCTTGCGCGCGGTATTTATCCTCCTCCATGTCGTGGAAAGTTGTTATGCATCTGCACTCTCTCGTGAATGCCGGCCTGATAGAACTTGGCTCGACATCGAGTTTCGAAGTTGGTCCCATCCCGTTTATCGTGGATAATTAGATTCCACTGCGCCCGAGAGAGAGAGAGAGAGAGACAGAGAGGGGGATGGGAGAAGCGAGAGAGAGAGAGAGAGAGAGAGAGAGAGAGAGAGAGAGAGAGAGAGAGAGAGAGAGAGAGAGCGCGC